CGTCGCAGGAGCTAAACACCCTGAAAAAAAAAAAAAAAAAAAAAAAAAAAAAAAAAAAAAAAGAGAGAGAGAGAGAGAATTCATGTAAGAGTAACAGGATATGATGGAATTAAGGTTGTATTGTACACAAAGGCATTTGGGCTGAATCAGGTCATGAGGAGCGACTGAGTGTTTCAGAGGAAGGGAAGAACACGACAAGAGCAATGATAGCATAAGAAGTTTCCAAATCCTGACTCATCAGGGATGGTTGAAGAAACTGATGTTTATTGTAGAAGAGAGACTCTGGGGAGGAAGGGGAATTTCTGCCAGACTTGGGGAGAATGAGATCACACTGGATAAAGGAAGAAGCTGGCTTGTTTTCTGTAGTCCCAATGACAGGTTGGGGGAAGCAACCAGGGACAGTGGCTAGAAGCTCTCGGGAAACAGACTTTCAGTTCAAATGAGGAAGAACTTCCCATGCATGCTAATTCAGATTTATTGAGGGCCCAGACATAATACTAGGTACCGGGAATGGAGCAGCGATCAGATGGACCAAGTTCCTGCCCTCATGGAGCTCTCAGGAAATGGGCCAGATAGGCCTTAAACAGAATCACCCTAGAGATGACTGTCACAGCCAGAGCCTCCCCAGTATAAGTACAGGCTCCTCCGAGCAGTGTTAGGTCCTTGTCATTGGGGTTGTTGGCAGAAACATGTCAGGAAGGGAGATTCTTGTGCTGGGGGGGTGGTCTGGACTGGATGACTTCTTGTAAGATTCTGTGCCTCTACATGGATTGTGAAATCTTCAGCAACTCTAAATCCCTTAATTAGAGGAGAAGAAATGGCAAGTGATCAATTAGCTTCTCTTAAAAAGCCTACATTTGCATTCTTCCTCTTAACTGGAGTCTGCAATGGTGCGGAGAGTGTGGTCAAGCAGGAATTTCATCCTACAGTAGCTGGGTGACTCCACCTATGAATTGAAAATCATTTAGCTGAAATTGTGACATCGCGTGCAAATTATAGTCTGCCTGAAGGTTGGGGCTGCAGCCACAGCTGTGGTGCAATCTTCCAGCAGCTAACATTAAGTTGGCTGGGGCAGACTCCTGGCCGGGCCCTGCTGCTGGTCAGTTAACAAGCTATGGGAGAGTTTGGCCTGGGCAGTAGCGGAGGGGAGAAGGAGGCTGGATCCTGATGTCTGTGAAACACTAACCTGCCTACAGAGAAGTGTCATCACCACGATTTTCACCATGACTTTTTTTTTAGTTTCTTTCCTTCTTCCATGAGACACACCTAGAGAATGAGAGAGAGGGGCACCCATAACAAAACCTTCATACCACAACACCCATCTCAGACAACCCAGATCATGGGCACACTCACATACTCAGGGAGGTTCCAGGACACAAACCAGGACCTTTCTCATGTAGGTTGTGTTTTGGTACCACTGCACCATCGCCTGACTCTGCCATGGTCTTGAACCTCAACTACAGCCCTGGGAGGTCTGCGGGTTGGGCTGCTAAAGACACTGAGAGTCAAAGAAGAGAATTTGACTGACGTCACATAGCAGGCAAGCGACAGAACCTAGCTTTGAATATCATCTTCCTTTTCCAACTTGGAGTATTTTTCTACCACACTTCATTGTGGTCAAGACTGATCAGCTATAGTCCTTTCCAAGGGAAGACCAAGAGATTGGTGGTCAGGCACCACTGTCCAAACCTGTGGGTCCCCTTGACGAGCTGTAATGCTCAGGACTCAGGGGTTTTTGAAAGATAATAACAAGAATGCTATTAACATAAACCTCTTATACTGAGCTGCTCTGGACACCATGCTAAGCTAAGCACTTCATATTCGTTTCTTCTTTAATTCTCATAGTAATTCTACTATGTTTTACAGATAGAAAGGAGGTGCTCTGAGAGGTGAGGAGATTTAGCATAGCCAGGATGTGGGCCCAAGTCTGTGTGATATCAGGTTCCTCCCTAAGGGTCACTCTGCCTCCCCATCACCTCTACAGGTTGTTTTGTTAGATCATTGAAAAGAATGCTCAGGGACCAGAAGATAGCATAATGGTTACATTCCTGGACTCCCACGTAGTTTACTGCAGTTCAAGTCCCGGACCTGGCAACTTAAAGCTCACACCAGGCACATGTGCATGCATGCCCCAAACCCTGAGAGAATGGAGAAGAAGGGATTGCAGTATGGCCATCCCACCCTAGGGGGTGATTTCTCTCTCCCTCTCTGTTTCTTTAGTGAGCACATGTACCCTATAGCAAAAATATCTCTAGAAAAGAATGCTTGAGGTTCAGTGTTTCATGGCTCCCAGGTCAACAGCAATGACAGTGATAAGAGTAATAAGCAAAATCCCTTTTTCATTTTTTATTTTTTATTATTTATACATTTAATCACTATACATCATTTAGATTTTAAAGAGACTTTACCCAGCATGACACACACCTCAGTTCAGCCCAGTTGAGCACATATGCACATCCTTAGCAACAAATAATAAACCATACATATCCACATCCCACAAATGCCTTACCTCTCTGTTTTTTCCTCAAATTTCCTTTCCTATGCTCTTCCCCTATCCCACTCTTTCCACTTTGGCTCTAGTATCCATAACAATTTTTAATGCGTGTATTTGCTCCAGTCTTTCCGTCTCTGCCATAGAGTGCTGACAGTTGGTATATGTTAAGGGGAGACATACAATATCTCTCTTTCATAGCCTGACTTACTTCACTTAGCAACAGATCTTCCATATTTGTCCACTTTCTATCAAATTCCAGGGCCTTGTTTTTTATGGCTGAATAGTATTCCATGGAGTATATGTGCCACATTTTTTCAATCCATTCATCCATTTGTGGACATTTGGGTTGGGAAAAAAACCTTTTTCTTATGCCACACTTAAGAGCCACTCATCTGTCCCATCCAATTCGCCTGGCCGTTCTTGGGTTTCCTGGCAGGACTAACTCAGCATAATGAGGGCCTTGCCCAGAGTCACAGCTAGAGCCATCACAGGGCCAACCCCACTCTCAAACATCCTCATTAAGGTCAGCACTCTTTGCCATATACCCCTCTACTCCCTTTTCCCTTCTCTCACCTACCAGAGCCAACAGCAGGTAGCACTCTGTCTGGCGTGGGTGCAGAGTCAACAGGGGCTCAGGGAGTCTGAATTCCCACCACATTTAGGCAGCCAACCTCAGAGGGTAAACAGACAGAACCTAGAGTAGCTTACATGTGGATCTGAGTCTCATGACTGCACGGACCTGGCTTGGTCTTTCCCCTGTAAGGTAGCAGTAATGGCAGTACCTATGTCATAGAGAAGAGATGAAGCGAGAGAGAGAGTAATATATGTGGACTGGTTAGCCAGTGCCTGCCCATCAAAAGCACCAAATCAATGGTAGTTATGATTCCATTTTTTGCAGTAATTGATTGACTCACTTATTCAAATATCTGTGTGTCCCTGCCAGATGTCAAGTCCTACACTAAGAAAGAAGATATGAATATGCAGCCTGTATCTTCAAGATCAGTCTAGGAATGGAGACAGATGCAAACAGGTAGTTTCAGATAGTGCAACACATTTGCTGATGGAAGTACTAAAATGTACAAAGGCAGCAGGAGCCCAGAGGACAGAGAAAGGAGTCGATTCTCTCTTTTCCATTTTTTCCAAGCCACCTGTCTACTCAGTCTTGCCTTTCTCATGAGTCACATTCCTACCTTCTCCTGAAAGACCCATCTTTGTCATTCTGGTGCTTGGTCTTCATTGCCCACACCAGTGCCAGGGGAAGCCTGGGGAAATGTCTACTAAGTCATCAATTTTCTGAAGCATTACTTTCCTTCTTTTTTCTTGGAGAGAATTTTTTTTTTGCTATAGGGTGTGTACACTCACCAGAGACACAGAGAGAGATAGAGAGACAGAAAGTGATAAATTACCCCCAAGGGGGGATAGCCACACAACAATCCCTTCTCCATTCTCCTCTTGGGGCTTTGGGCACATATGCACACGTGCCTGGTGTGAGTTTTAAACTGCCAGGTTCAGGGCTTGAACCACAGCCAACTATGTGGGAGTCCAGCGACATAACCATTGTGCCATCTCCTAGTCCCATCTTTATTTATTTGTTAGAGATTTTTGCTGTAGGACACATGTGTTCACCAGAGAAAGAGAGAAACCGAACGCAAGAAATCACTCCCAAGAGGAGGGTGGTCAAGCCACAGTCCCTGCTCTTTTATTCTCCTCTTGGGATTTTGGGCACACACGCGCACATGCCCAGCATAGGTTTCAAGCTGCCAGGTTTGAGACTCGAATCCAGATGAATCTAGTGACATAACCATTATGCCATCTGCTAGTCCCTGAAGCATTATTTCATATAAATTCATTTTAATTCCCTTGTCTGTCACAGGAACCTTGGTACTTATAACTAGCGAGGATCTTTGAGAAAGCATAACCCCTTAAAACCAAGCAGACAAAAAATATATAGAATGCAGAGCCTCTCCCCATACCACTCCTTTTCCTTTTCTTTTTTCTTTTTTTTTTAAAGAGATCTGGAAGTTAGGACCAGAAAGGGCCAGTGACTTGACTTACTCTGCAGTTCAGGGAGAACACATGGTAGGACCATCTGCCTCATTAAATGGAGTATTTTCTCTCCCAGTCTGGATTGAAACTGACATTCAATTCCAGATTATATCTGGGTTTAATCCATGATGGTACTTATACCTGCACTTTCCACTTGCATGTTCTCATTTGATCACACCTGCAACTTATGCATTGAGAAGAGTGATCCTTCTCTGGCACGATTATTCCCAGTCACAAGCCTGGAGGCTTTCAGGTTCACAATTTAGCCATGGCCCAGGGTCCAGCTCTCATCAGAACCAAGGGCTTCTAACTCTTCCTGCTACAGAGTAACCCTGATCAAACAAACCACGATGTGTCTGACATCCCTTGTGCAAGTGGAAAAATGCTAATATATGTGTTTACTGAGAAAGAACTACACAATTTTTTACTTCTGGGTTCTGCTGAGATGTTTCTCTGACCCAGAGAAGACTTCCCGGTATCAACTCTGGATAAGATACTTCAAGAAATGCATGGCATAGTTTCTCAAGTCCTTCTGTCCAAAAAGTTGTTCATCTTTAAAAAAAAAAAAAGATAAAGCAAACCATTTGAGGGTGTGTGTGTGTGTGTGTGTGTGTGTGTGTGTGTGTGTGTGGTTTCTAGCTCTCATCAGAACCAAGGGCTTCTAACTCTTCCTGCTACAGAGTAACCCTGATCAAACAAACCACGATGTGTCTGACATCCCTTGTGCAAGTGGAAAAATGCTAATATATGTGTTTACTGAGAAAGAACTACACAATTTTTTACTTCTGGGTTCTGCTGAGATGTTTCTCTGACCCAGAGAAGACTTCCCGGTATCAACTCTGGATAAGATACTTCAAGAAATGCATGGCATAGTTTCTCAAGTCCTTCTGTCCAAAAAGTTGTTCATCTTTAAAAAAAAAAAAAAGATAAAGCAAACCATTTGAGGGTGTGTGTGTGTGTGTGTGTGTGTGTGTGTGTGTGTGTGGTTTCTTATCTCCCCCTTTCCTCAAGTAGGTGTTGCACAAATATGATGATCTTCCATTGGGTGACCAGGATGTCGTAAGTGAAATGTTTACAGGCACTACAGGAATGACTTGGTGCCTCGCCCACCTCATTAGAATTCTAATTGGGGTGTGTAGGAGCGCCTTCTATAAATGGTAAGGCAATCCCCACCAGCCCGTCTCCCCACACCTGCGGTGTCATTCCCAGACGATCCGAGACAAGGCAGACGGCGAACGATGGCTGGTGAGTGCGTGGCATCTTCTCTGCCAGGCCCTTGCTGGAAACCCATGCTTCCCTGGGCCAGCTTGCGAGGCCAGTGTCCAGCCAGGACAACTCTCTGCCTTGGGGGCTCTGAAGGCTGGATCTTACTGTTTTAGGGTTCTATTCCTAGGCGACCCTTTTCCAGGGACTGCCTGGTTCCTCTAGCACATCCCCATGGATAGGTTGATTAGACTGTAGCTCTGAGTAATGGGCAAGGTACCCAGTGCAGGTGGAGGTCGTGTCCCCTTAGGGGACAAGCTTTACTTTCCTGGTGTTTCTTTTACACACCAGTCTCCCCTTGTGAAGTCAGGCCAGATGGCACATGCATCCCATTTCTCAGGATAGCTTTACCCTGCTGGCAGTAGCTTAGGCAAAGAAAAGCACATCTCTGAGATCAGGGAGGGAGTGAATGACAGCATGTAAGATGATTTGAAAGAAACCATCAGCACTGCTGGAATGCTCCTAAGTAAACTATGCATCCGGAAGCACCAGCTGGCTCTTTGAAAGTGACTGCCCGAGATCAGAAGCCTCTCAGTAGCACAAGGAGCAGGCTTACCAGGAGATCAGGAAGTGGTGGGGAGAACAACAAGAAGTGCAGGTTCTTGAGCTCTGTGGTTACCATCGAGGATTTGGGCCCTTTGTTAATCAGCACCCCTGCTGAGCCCCATGTTAATTATTGCCTGTCACAGTGCTCAGCCTAGTGGGTTGACAGCAGAGACGCCAAACCCAAACAAGTCATGAGTCAAACCTGCAAAATATTGTGAATGGCAGTTAGGACCACGGCAAGGTTTGTGGAAGAAATCACCGAGCCAGGTGCAAAAGGCAGATGCTGACTACTTCGGAAATGACACAGAGCAGGACAGAGTGGTTACAAAAATGCCCCTTCTTCCCCTGCTTGCTTCTAAGAATATCCTGCATGGCTGGGATGCTCAAAGAGCTCTGGATCCTGCAGCCTTTAACAAAGGGGTATGTTAGCTGTCATCTAGCCTGTCTCCCTCCATCCCGCAGTAGGACACTGAGGCCCAGGAAGGGGTGGGTTCTTACCAAGGACACACAGCAAGCTGGTAGCAGAGCCTAACTAGGTCCCATCAGCACCCTTTCTACTGGGTCCTGCCACCAAAGGTGAGCTCATGTGAGACTGCATGTGACATTGGAGGGCATAGAAACGCCATCCTGCCCTTGGTTTCCCCTTTGAGCTCCGTCACCAACTGCTTGTTTGCCCCCTGCCACTACAGAGTCTCAAGTGTACAAGATGAAGGGCTTGAAATAGATGGGCTTTGGGGCTCCGTCTAGTACTGAATCTCTTTCTCCACGTAAAGGAAACCAGGGACAGGAAGCAGATGGGTCCCACCAAGTGCCCAGCCCTCCAAGGTCGGCACTCACATCCCTGTCCATGACCTTCAGTGGACCCACATGAGCAGCTAGCCCATTGAAAGCCAGCCTGCTTGACACCATGGAGGCCCAGGGTGTCAGATGCCTGTGATTCATGGAGACACTGAGCTCGTAGAGCTTAGATCTAAGTCAACCAAAAATGTGTAAGGTCACACAGAACGTGGACAATGATTTGTTGGGAGAAAGTAAATTTTTCAAACAGTAGAAGAGAGAAAGGTGAAGACATTTTGTCCCTTAAATTTGTCACACAGACAGTTCTGCCCCTAGTGGGTAAGCCACTGTTTCTTGAATAAATAATTTACTTATTGGGACCAGCAGATGGCGTAATGGTTATGCTGCTGGACTCTCACGTAGTAGACTGCAGTTTGAGTCCAGGACCCAGTGGCTTAAAACACGCCGGGCACATGCGCTTGTGTGCCCAAAATCCCGAGAAAAGAATGGAGGATATGGGATCGCGGCATGGCCATGCCCTATGGGGGATGATTTCTCGCATTCTGTCTCCCTCCCGTGAGGGCACATACCCTATAGCAAAAATCTCTCTGAAAAAAATCTCTTACTGGACAGCTAAGGAAAGGATCTGTGTTAGGTGCAGTGAGAAACAGGAATAAACGCGATGCAATTTCTGTCTTCGGCAACAGTCTGATTGCTCTTGGTGACACCAGTTTATAGGAAAGGAACATACAAGGTAGACTGTCAGTAGCTGCATGACTAATACAAACAAGTGCGGTGGGGGCCGGGCAGGGGAGAATTCATTTTGTCTGGGATTTGGCATAGAGAAAAGGAAGGTAAATGGCTCTTAGCCGTGGATGATGATTGTACTTGGTCTGGGGTGGTTTGGTTCGGTGAGAAGTGCTTTGGGCAAAGGGAATGGAAAAATAAATATGGGTGTGTAGGCAAGTGTGACCCAGGGCACTGATGATCACGTGTGTTGGTTTGAGTGGACTCCGTGTCC